GCGTTCAGTATTGGACGGAGACAGGTTGAAAAAGAAGAAGAAAAGGAAGAATGGAGCTGATGGAAATGATAGAACAACTCAACCAAGTAGCCAAAGAGGTCGGACTAAGGATGAATACTGGAAAGGCGAAGATAATGAGTCAAGCAAATCCCTATATAAACCAATATACATACCTTGGTCATACGATCATGCTAGGAAAGCCAAATCAAACAGCAGAAATTACTAGACGTATAGGACTCACATGGACAGCGTTTGGTTAACTGCGATACATCTTTGGGAACAGCAGTATACCTATAAACCTAAAGAAAAACTTGACGACTCATGCAATCCTATCGGTAGCTGCACATGGCCTAGAAACTATAAGCCTAACAAAAAAGAGTGTAAAAAAGATTAAGCATAACAAAAATTAACTAAAAAGACCCATGGAACGCACAATGCTTGGAATTTCGTTAAGAGACAGATTAAAAAACAAGGAGATTCGAGAAAGAACTAAGGTTACAGACGTGACAGAACTAGTGGAGCCACCTTAAATGGAGCTGGGTCGGACATGTTGCAAGACAGGGCAGTGCCAGATGGACAACCCACTGGCGGCCAAGAGGAACTAAAAGGAGCAGAGACCGGCCACAGAGAAGATGGCTAGACGATGTTAGGTCAACCGTGGGCCGAGACTGGTACCACAAGGCCCAAGATCGTCAAACTTGGAAGATGTATGGAGAGGTCTATATCCAGGAGTTAATGAGAGGGAGCTGATGAAGAAGAAGAGGAACAAGATACATTTCTAATGTTTCTAGCATCACAAAACTACAAGAACTACGTAACCTGCAGCTACCAGGAGAGCTCACCTGCAAAACTGTCAATAAAAGACAAATCAGAATCAACACGGACTCAATCAATTATTTTAGAGCGATAATTAAATTTCGTATACAGGGTTGCTCATTAGTGCGTCAAAGTGCGATATCTCAGTAAATATGAACTTTACAAGAAAATACGTCCTACGAAAGTTTTTCATGTTTA